TCTTTCCCACCACTGTGAAGGAGAGGGAAAAATATATATATAAATACGTCGGAAATCTATAACGAGGTCTTCTCGGAGGGCAAGACATAGGGAGAGTTAGAAGCAGCGTCAATTGCTCTTTGGGGGTTTTAGTTCAAGCCAAGGTCTGCTTCCAGCAATCAACCATTAAAACAAGCCGGCCAGAGTAACAGCAGTTTATTCTGATCATTTAATTTGAAGTGTCAATAAATTAAACTTCAATCAATTAAACTAGGTGTGCAATAACCCAGATGGACACCCCGACACCAACATAATCACAATAAAAATTTTTATGGCTGCCAGGGACCTCACCGGGGGCAGCGCTGGCACTGCTGGAGCCCTGGCTGAGAAATATATCTCCACAGTGCAGTGAGGAGATTGCTTCACCTAAAGAAATGCAGGGGCCAGGCACCAGCAAGGACGCAGCTGGGAGAGGGGCGCAGGGGACTGCCAGGAGTGAGATGGGAGTGCTTTGGGGGCTTAATGTAATTGATACCTTTGCCCAAAGCTGGGAGAGGGGGCACTCGGGCCAAGTACCTCTACTGTTAGTGCCAAAGGAATTTAACAAAAGCCCCATTAAGATGATTCAGGAAGCAAAGGCCGTGGAGCAATATCGGCCTTTAAGTCACTGACGTATTCTGCCTCGTTCCCTCCTCCAGCCACAAACAAGGCCTCGTGCGCTTTGGATGGCGTGATTTTTGAATGAAGCTTAGAAATGGGATTCCGTCATTGTTTCAGGATGACATATTATGAGAGAGAAAGAACAGAATTAGAAGTCTAGTCTGTGAAGCTCTGGAAAAGCACTCAAAGTGAATCTTTTTAAAAAAAAAAAAAAAAAAAAAAAAAGCAAGTGAATCGGAGAGGATTAGGAAAAATGAAAACTATGTACAAAGATAAGATTTAAGGATCTAAACTGCTAGAGTAATTCTGCTTTGAGGGGAGAAACCAGTACAGGAGGAAGGAAGGGTAAGGAATAATCTTCAAGAGCTTATAGGTTATTAATAGAGAATGGTGACCTGCAGAAATTCATTCACAATTTAAAAAGGGAGAAACAGCAGGAGAAAGGAAGCTTAAGACCAAAGATACAACTTAAGAGCATTAGTGTTATTAAACATAAGGAGAATGAAGGACCTCTTGCCTTAGAGACAAAGAGAATTAAAGAGAGCAGACAGAGCTGGGGATTTAATTCAGTGGTTCCACCGCCTGCCTCACAAGTACAAGGAGTAAAAAAAAAAAAAAAAAAAAAAAAAAAAAAAGAAAAGAAAAGAAAAGAAAAGAAAAGAAAAGAAAAGAAAAGAAAAGAAAAGAAAAGAAAAGAAAAGAAAAGAAACAGAAGGCTAGCTGGGTATGGTGGCACACATCTGTAATCCCAGCACTTGGGAGGCTGAGGCAGGAGGATTGCTGTGAGTTCAAGACCAGCCTGGGCTACATAATGAGTTCCAGGTCAGTCTCAACTACACAGTGAGACCCTGTCTCAAAATCAATCAATCAATCAAAGGCTGAATTACTTAATTCAAGAAAGAAATGTGATCCCCACACTTGGGAAGTTGAGGCAAGAATATTATCACCAGTTCAAGACCAGCCTGGGCTACATAGTGAATTCTAGGCCAGCCTGAGACCCTCTCTCTCTCAAAGAAAAACAAACTTTTCTTATTAGAAATTCCCACCCTGCACTCCAGTAATCCCAAGCACTCAGGAGGCTGAGGCAGGAAGATCCCCAGGAGTTCAAGGCTACTCTGAACTACATAGCAAGACTGGCTCAAGAAACAAATAGAAAAAAAAATCCCACTGAACATGGTGAAACAGGCCTATAATCCTAGTGGGATAATCCCTAGTAGGAGGCTGAGGCAGAAGGATCCTTGGCAATTTAGCAAGTCTCTGTCTAAAAATAAAATAGAAAGGGCTAGAACTGGAGTTGGAGATCAGCGCTCCCTGGATTCGGTCCCCAGTACTTCCAAAACCAAAAATCCCCCTATTAAAGCCAATTTTGACTGGTGTCTCTTCTTGATCCCCTCTTACAGCACTGCCTTTCATCAGATTTCCCCAAAGTTCCCGACAAACCAGCAAACAGAAATACAAAAGAAGGAAACTTAAAAGACCTGAAGGAGTCTGCATTTACTAAGGAGTGGCTTGTTAAGTTAAGATTCAAGTACAGTAAAATCTTTAGCTCAGAGCTGTAAGGTGAAGTCCAAGGATTCCTTGTTCTTCTCAGAAGGAAGACAAAAGCTTAAGAACCAGGAGATGCTGCTGAGCAGACAGATGTGGAGAGAGGGGATGAGGAACAGCAGCAGTAAATTCAGTGGGCCAGTGTGTGAGGACAGTGAGAGAAGGAATAAAGACTTAAGAGATCACCGGATTGTAAACAAAGGTTCCTCACCTCAACCACTGAATATATATAT